TGCGGTTCAGGACTCCGATGTGACGGATCTCCACGTGATGGCCCGGATCCAGGATCAGGAGCAGTGCCATCCTGCTGATTATGATCAGGAATGCAATCAGGTCCTCCAGGCCCCGCGCTGGGGCCGCGATGCTTAGTTTTCCCGTCGGGATCAGCTCTCAGACAACCGAGGCAAATAGGTCGAACACTCGACCCAAAACGACGTACATCGTCAGGCGAAGCGATGTGTTGATCGCAGTACTCGTCCTTGCATATGAGACACCTCACAAGTCCGTGTCTCCCCCCTCTTCCTCTGCATGCGCGGCATCCAGGAAACTGATCGCTGCACTTGAAACATGAGTTACAGTCATGGTCAAAGCAGTCTTCGCAGACTGACTTGCCGCAGCTTCGGCATGGATAGCGAGGTTCCCGATGCTGTGGATGCCCTGGCTCCTCATGAGCACACCTGGCCCGGTTATCAGGGGCAGCGCCGGCAGCCCGAGCAATGGCCCTCGCTCTAGAGGGATCCCTGCCGAAGATGGGGGCTGATGGTGATGGTGGGGGTGGCCCCGAAGGAGGTGGAGGTGGAGGTGGAGGAGGCCTCGCCGAGCTGACGGTGCGAGCATCACGAGGAGGAGAACCTCTAGGAGCCCTTCCCTGGGTTAAGGGATCTGTGTCTCCAGATTTCTCCCATGATCCCGTTCCGGCGGTCGAACCAGCGCCAGCACTTGAGGATCCGCAGGCAGCAAGAGGTTGCTCCCTCAATTCAGCGACCTGCATGTTGATCTCATTGACCCTCAGCACAAGCTTCATAAACTGCTCTTGCATGTCCCTCGGATTGGGGCCTAAGCTTTTGTCATGAAGGTCCTTGACACATCTAGCAATGCGGGACAATTGAAGCTTGAATTCTTCCTGTTTCTGTGAGTTCTCATTGAGGGCTCCGGATACCTTATCACTGAACTGCTTCAGGTCGGTCGCAGGAACGAGATGCTGGATATACGTCTCGACGTTCCCACGGATGGTTCTTTCTCTTGAGATGGTTCCCTCAATGTCGATGACACTGCGAGAGTTCGCCTCAACTTCGTCTTTGATTTTCCGAACCTCAGCCTCAAGGGCCCCGATCTCAGAAAACCTAAGAAGCTGGACCTTGGCGTTCTCAAGTGATTCGGCCTGCTCGCGAAGTTCAGCAGCGGATATGACGATCGAGTTAGATCTCTCATCATACATCTTGAAACGCTCATTCATCTCCTTCTCGCTTCGGGCAACCCACTCGTGGAAATCACGGAACTTAGCCTCGTGTTTTGAGAGAGTTCCGGCAACGGCAGAGAAGGATGATTCAACCTTCTTCTCGAAGGCGTCAACACGGTTATTGATCTTCTTGATCTCACCGACGCAAGCGTTGATATCATCCCTACATGAACGAATCTCAGCTCTGCATCCCTGGATTTCGGCCTTGCACCCCTTGACCTCGTTATGGATCGCGAGAAGCAGTCGTTGAAGCTCAGATGCAACAGGATGGCCGCCACTTGTGGAAGCAGACGGAGCAGGACGACTATCAGCGTCATGATCTCCGCGGCTATTCTCTTCCCTGTCGGGAGTGCAGCCCGGAGTTCCGATTTGAAAGAATGCGGGGACAACGGAGTCGTTGACCGGTTGATTCGAAGGAAGCCCTCCATATCCAGGGGCAACAGTGCTAAGACCAGGTCTCCGATTCCTAGGCGTAGAGTTAATCCCGTCATCAGTCTCCTTCTCAGACATCGGGGCGTTGGAGCTGAGCCCAGACCCCGCAGAGTGTATAGGAACGTCAATAGGATCGTGATGAGCTGGGGGATTAGATCGCAGTCGTAGAGCAGCTTCACGTCTCTCGGGTGACTCAGAGCTCCTCTTTGTGGCTCGTGAGTCAGTGCCGGTTTGTCCCGACACATTATCAAATGATGATGATCCGCGAAGTTGAGCTTGATCTGAATTAGGTTGAGTGAGATCAAGCCGTTGAGCAACGTCACCATTGAGTGGCTTAGGGGAAAGTACTTTGGCAACGCGGCTCGGCGGGAGCGATGTAGTTCGTCTCTCTGGTGTGACCTCGGCCTCATCGATTACATCAAGGATCCCAGGAATGGTTTCATCATCTTCATTTCCTCTCCTGGGTGGCTGATGGAAGGGGATGTCGAGGAGGTCAAATGGAGTAGAGCCAATACCAGGTGTATCCTGCTCGGATCCATCGGTACGGTGGCTGGACTGCTCCTCGAGGTCGATGACGTCGGGGGCGGACTCTTTTCGAGTCTGACGCCGATTGAACGCCGCGAAGAGACCGGCATGGCTTCTTGACGAAGAGAAGGAAGGATTTGGGCCTGCTGTTTCGCGGCCCGCATCGATCGACTAGTACCTGATGTCCGATTTGGCGGATTTGAGCCCGCGTTGTAGCGGTTCGCATCCCGACCTCGGGTACCTGAGGAAAGCGGTGGATTCGGACCAGCGTTGTAGCGGTCCGCATTCCGGTCGCGGGTACCTGACAGGTGAGATGATATTGCATCAGGGATGAAGTCCATATCCGCCGGACTGGGGTGATCGTGAATGATGTCAATGTCGGATGAACCTGAGACGGGAGGAGGGCCAGCTATTTGCGGCCAATCCTCAATCGCCCGTTTGCCCACCTCGGGTTGGGCCGAACCTGCAACATGAGAAGGGGAGAAATCTTCAATGGGGTCATTTTCTCCATCATGAGGAAAACCCTGAGTAGGCTCATGCGACGGCAGGGCATCAAAGGATCTGTCAATTCGGGAAGGCTGAGACCTCCAATCAGCATCAAAAAGGGATTGAAAATCCAGATTCCCAACCGAAACGGGGGCACCCGAGTTAAAGTCGAGCCGACCGAAATCAGGCGGTGTAGCCTGCGATCCACTGCCGAGGAGTTGGTCAAACTGATCCCATGTAAGGGACCATGATTGAGCCGGCTCCGGATGAGCAGCATGATGGATAGCCCGGTCCTCGATCTGGAGCGCCACGAACGGAACAGTAGGCGAAATCGATGAGGGCACCTGATTTGGAGGAACCTCAGCCTCTTCTAGAGGGGGTCCGTCCTCGATCTGGAGCACTGCCGCCGGGATAGGGGCCTCCGCATCCTCATCAAACACAACCTGAGAAAGGATCCAATCGTCCGTGATCACCCCGGGATTGGGCTCTGCGCCCACCATCGGGGGAATGGGCCACAGCCGGCTGTCTAAGCCGGGGGCAGCAGGCGCGGCGTTGCCGCGAAGGGCGTTGGCCTCGTCGTCCACGAAGCCCGGCCCACGATGAGAAGCTCCGGGGGACGCCATTGCTCGTACAAGTAGGCGATGGGAGCAGGTAGCGGGTCACGTCCCGCAACCGGATCACCAGCCCCAGCTTCTAGCTGGTACGGCTGATAACCTGCGGTTTTGGGCGAACACGAAGTAGCCCAGGGAAGCAAATGAGCACAAAGTAGATCACGATGTACCCAAAGCACCCGGAAACACAACTCGGGTGAAGCTGTGGATGATGACCGGGTTGAGGAAGTGACGGTTGACAAAGGAGAAGTATGGGGAGGTTAGAAATCAAGTTGAAGAGGATTAAGTTCAATACCAAGCCCAAGTAGAACAGCGCGACTCACCGAGCACCTCCTACACCCAGCCGCCCGCGGCCCCGACCCTTTTCGGCTCGAGGACGAAGAAAGCTGCCAGTGAATGGCGCACGAGCGTGAGTCCTATTCCCACTTGACGGGAGGTAAAAACTTGAGCCAAACGGCCGTTCGGCCGTTTTGACATATGAAGAAACAACACGTGAACAAAACACAAAAGGAAAAGGGAAAGTTGGGTGGCACAGGAAAACAAAAAGGACCCTTTGACCAACATCTACCCAACAGTTGTTTGATCCTGTGACCCACTAACGTGGTGTTGTTGCTTTGAGGTTCAGGCAACCCTAAGCTCCTAAGCTTAAGTCATGAGGACTTTTGCCCACACTCTTGGCATGGACTCCAGGAGTATGGTTTCGAGGGGAATTCCCAGTATGGACCAAGCAGATATGGCTTTCCATTCGGGGTTCCTTTGTTGGAAAATGGCTGCAAGAGCTTGTCACTGGGTTCTCATCCCGACTATTTCGTTGGGATTTGCTCAAAGAGACTCGCAACCTATGTGCAACCATGGGGGTTCCTTTCCTCGCACACGCGCCTGACTTGGAGATCCAAAAACCCGTTGCGGAGAATGCGAGGGGTGTGGTGTTCCGAATGTGAGGTTGCTCACAACCATTGTTTTACCCGTACAGGATACGACTATTCAACTTGGGACAGGTTGCTCTCAGCACTTTTTGATCCGTCCAGAGTTGCTCTGTGTCCAAACTAGGCACCAATGGGTCTCAATTTGCAGCCGGGCGAGAACTATGAGCCTAAAGGTTTACCACAGATCGTTATACGTAGAGTTTGATATCAGTCCAAGTCCACCAGTAACTTGGGGCATGTCCCCTTAAGGCAATATTTCAACAGGATGGAGGTTGCCACAAATGAATACTACTTCATAATTAGACGGTCTAGACACATTAAGCTTCTTGTATGCCCCCCCCGCCGAACGAGCCTTGGACAAAATGTGCTCCCCAAGAGGACATGGTCAAATTTAGTAGGCCCGCTTGCCCTCTCCAGCTAGCAATAACAACAGACTGCCCGTAGTTTTGTCCGTTGCTCAAGGATCTTCTGGCTATGTCAAGACCCTCCCATGTGAATGGTTCGCCCTTTGGGCTTCCAAGAAACAAAGCCTCCCTACGCTTTCTCAGCTGCTTCTCAGGGAGTTTCCTGAGGTTTGCTCTTTGCCCATCCCATGGCTTGCCATGGTCGCAATCAAAATTGGTCAGTGGTCTACCCAGAATCATGTAAGAGCTAGGTGTAAAGGGAACACCTGAGTCACAATCAAAACCCGGTACGAAAATGGTCGACCCAGAACCATGTATGGAAAAAGTACCTTACCAACCTGCATCTACCCGGGTTTTGAGTGTGGCTCACGCGCTTTCAACCATTCCCGCCTGGCTTCACTGCGGTAGGGAGCGTGGCATATGAGACTGCCAGGGTCGTCTCGTCGCCCTGCGCGGGTGAAACGGGTTCAAGAGAGAGAGAGAGAGAGAGAGAGAGAGAGAGAGAGAGAGAGAGAGAGAGAGAGAGAGAGAGAGAGAGAGAGAAAAAGAGAGAGAGAGAGAGAGAGAGAGTGAGAGAGAGAGAGAGAGAGCCATGCCGGAGAGGGGCCTTGTGCCTGGACAAATTGGACACAACCTGCGTTTCAGCGGCTATTTGCCAAGCGTTCAGGCACCAAAGGGGCATGGGGAACAAGAATTCACCGAGCCTCAGGACACTTAGGTGGGCCGGAGCCACATTTACCTCCACACGAGCTTGCCATATGTTCATTCAAACTTCCTACCGGAGAAGACAGGGTTCCTGGCCGGACAAACTCACCTTGCATATGCCCAAATTGCCAAAAAGTGATGCTCGAAACTACCGAAAGAGGAAACCCTCTTTCAGGCCTCGGCCGTAGCTGGTTTGGGTTGGGGCCTTCTCAGGGTCCTTTCCGAGGGTCTTGCACCTCATATTTCAGGATTCCTTGTATGTTCCCTTGAAACATCACTCCACAAAAAGGAAGCTCATCTTAAACTGGCCCCAAGGGTGATCTTTCAATCAGCCAATGGGGACATATAAGGACCCTGATAAGCCCTGTTTTCTCAAGAAAGTCTTGAATCCATTTTTTTGCCCCTGGGCGAAAGGCAAAAACTGGGTTTCAAGGGTCACAGTGTTTGTTGGGAGCTGGGTTTCAAGGGCACCCCCCCCAACCAAACACAAACTCGACGGCACTGGCGGTCTGCGGTCTCAGAATCTTCATGCAGCTTCAGGGTCTGCCATGGCGAAAGCTCCGAATGCGGGTCATGGTCATGGTTGGACCTTTACTTGGGTTGACTAAAACCCACAAAAGAACTGGCATGATCATGCCCCAGTTCCTTCCACTCCTACTTGGATGTTCCATCCACTTAGTAAATAGGCTTTCACCATGGTTTTAAGTAGGCTAGGCACTGGTCACAGATCGCTCCCTGGAACCACAGCAATTCACTCACCCGGCCTCATGGTTCGACCTTTACACACCTTTAAGGTGACCAATTTATATTGGTTGCCGAAAACCCACCAAAAAACAACAACCTAGTATGATCATGCCCCAGTTCCCAGGGACGGGTCTTCTGACAGATCCATGAAACCCCGCCGCGCAGAAAGGCCTTGAAGTCGTAATCCGTGACCAGCTTCAGCTCCTGGCCCTCCTTCAGATCGATCTTGCCCCCCGCCAGTTCCTCCTGCGGTCTCCAATGACCCCTGGGCAGAAACTGGGCAGGCCCAAAGTGAAGCCACAGGACACAGAACTGGCGCTTCACAGCCTCGCGCTTTGGGCATCTTCAGGTTCAGAGCAATCGACGCCCCCAAAAAAAGTTCAGTTGCAAACACCAAACACAAGGGATGGAAACATGGTAAAGACCGCTGTGCAGGCTTGGGTTGGCCGTAGTCATTTCTGACATAGCATAAAGCACACGTTATGGCCATTCTGCATTTGTGCTAGTTGACCATATCTCCGAAACCTGAAAGAATGCAACCCCAAGTACAGTACCATCAGAACACAAGCCCGCTTCCCGGATCAGTGGAATCGCTTGCCAGGGGCAAGCTCCTGAGTGCGAGTCGCATCGCGACTTCACGTTAGTGTGGAGAGATTTTCGTTTCCAGCCTTGCCAAGCTCAGGGTTTCAAACAAAACCAGAACCTGCCAGGGCTACCAAATGGTGCCCTTACCAAGCTTGCTGGTGCTCAGCAAGGAATGAGGGAATGACCCCTATAAACCATCCCTTGTGGGTTCCCGTTCAGGGGACTGGGTTCATTCCCACATCCCCTACCCAGCCCCAGCAAGTAAGTGCCTGTTGTTTGGTCTTTGGAGCAGCTGGACAGCCGAATTGCCGTACGGCCATGGAGCTTGAGGGCTGCACACCCGTTGCCAAGGGATTTGATGGGTTGAAGGGTCGCCCGAACTGATGGTTTCGGTTTCCTTTCCCCTTAACAAAACCCTTCAAAGCCGTACCCAGCTCAAAACAGATATCTCATATCTCACAGTCAGAGAGAGAAAGAGAACCCTGCGGATCCCAGGTATAGCAAAAGCAGGCGCCATTTTCCTGATTCTTAAAAGCTGGTTCCCTTGGTTGCCTAGGGAAACTGGATCCACCGGGATGAACAGCAAAAGACACAGACTTTTGCTTAAGCTCCCCTGGATGTATTTTCCCAGTGATAGATTCCCTTTCAATCCAACAGGGGAAAACAAACATATTCCTGGGAACATGGGGGTTGATCAAAAGGTGCTTTATATGAAATGACCATTGGGAAAACCACTGAAAGGCCGGCATTTCCCACTAAATGGGAAAGTTACCCATGGTGATTTGGGGGCTAGGAATATTGATCGAACCCCACATGCAAGCAACCAGGACGAGAGCTTCACTTGCGCTTTGAGCAGTCCTTGAACCAGCCAGTGCGGATCTCGGGACCCTGCGCGACTTGAGCTTGCTCAGATTAACCTGTTGAACCCAAACGGTTGGGGGGTTCGCAAAATTGTCCCCTTGATGTTGACCCCAAATTAATAAATCCCAGTTTACTCGAGATGGGTGTCCCTGAATTTTTGATTTGCCATTTAGCGATTCCCAGAAGATCTAAGGCTGCAGCTCCCTATGGTTGCTGTGGCTCTACCCGTAAGAGAAGCCAATCCCCACGGACCGGAGCCTTGGTATCCAGCAGGACTCCCACCGGCTTGTCGGGAAGAGACTTGCATGCCTGAAGCATCCCCGAAACGGAACTTGGCTGGAATTAGGACCCCAGCAAACAATAATATGTTTCGCAAAAGGGAACCCCCAAAAAAGCAAAAACATAAAAAGGGGAACTAATTCTGGGGAGGTGCAAAGCTGCGTGTGAGGCCGCTGCTTCCCTTGTTGGGTCCAAAATCGGCAACTTGGGGAGTGGAGCCCATGAAACTTCCAAAATTTCGTGCATCTACCGCACCCTCCCACCCATCAACATGGTATCTTCCAACTGCTGTGAACAGCAAACTGAAGCTCCATGTTAGTTGGCGAGAGAGGCGTCCTTTCTTGACACATCCCTGCATGCATGCGGGGCACACACACACGTGATTCTGTCAGCTCAACAAGCTTGACTGAGCAGTGCTGGACAGAATTGTGAGAGATACATGCAGATTACTTTGCCGGCCTCGCGCACTCTTTGAACCGTTCGGCCATGACCCTGGCAGTGAAGCGACAGTTCACACGTCTCACTCAAGGATGCTGACCGCACTTTGCCACATCTATGCCACGCAGCTTACTATGCCACATGGACAACAATCCGAACCCACGCACGCGCGCGCACACACACACGCACACGCTTCAGTTGCCACCGGTCCTCATGGTCGCCGTGCGAAAAGTTCAAGCGGGCAATGTTCATGCCCTGGGCCTGGCATGTGCGACTGGGAGTCTCGGCCTGTCATCCGAATCAGGCAAGCAATGCTAGACACACCTACCAAGTATGTTCATCCTCACAGGGTACTTGAACTCTTTGTCAGTTGTGTTGCAAGTCTCAACTCTGTTCAGCAGTGCTCGTGAGTTGTGCAGACAGAGTTTCCCCCTTTCATACCACTTAGAGCAAACTCACCTAGGTGATGCTGCCACAGCCAAAAGTCGAATAGGGAGCCCTGGCAAAGGAAAGAAAGAACTTTTTGACAGGAAACCCCACTTCCAGCCAAGAGTCGATCAGCTTTTTCAGCATGTCGACTTCCCAGCAGCATGGGCCCATGGTGCAAATGATCTTGCACTTGCCTGGACTGAGCAAATCTGGCAAACGAAGCCTTTGGCACCAGCATTGTTAAAAGCAATGCCAGTTCCAGGGGTTAAAACCACTAGAGCGATATGTGTGACACCTCTGCACAGCCAGTCCATGCCAGTCCCATCACCTCGTCAAAAACCCTATCCCCCAAAGGCCAGTATTTTTTTGCTTTGCCTTATTATTTCCTGTCTTTTTTTTTTGGGGGGGGGGTTGACCATCTTAGAATGAACTCACTCAGCTCGCAGCGATTGAACGAATCCGGGTTCGTGCTCTCCAAGGACACCATGGAGGAGCGGATTTTCGGATCGTCCAGCAACCTCGACATGAAGCGATCGCGCGAGGCGACTTCCAACCAGGGTCTGAGCGCTCAAGAACCCAGCAGGAGTGGGTTGCGTAAGTGGGGTCTCAAAAGAACCTATCACAACCCAAATTGATCGGACCCTTTCTATAGGAAGTTGGATGACCTTTACGGCTTCTGCCCCAACTCAAAATACAATGTTTGGTTCTGATCTACATTTAGCAAACGCTAAGATACAACATCCGTTCAAACAAGATCCTCGCTTTGAAGTCGACCTTTGGCTGTTGACAAACAGCCCAGAAAGGTTGACACGATGCAGAATCAATCCCTCTTTCTAGACAGTGGCACGCATGGCAAAAGCCAAAAGCAAGAAATCACCCAAAACCACCGACGGTTTGCCTGATACAGCAGAAACTCACCGCGGCATCTCTTGCACAGCTGTAGGGACTCGCAAATGTCATGCCTGCGGATATGTCACATCTGTCCCCCCAAGTCAGAGTGGAAACACTGCCTGGGAAAGGAATGTCTAGGTCATGCCTGCACAGCAAATCACAATTGACGCCAACACATGATGCCAGTTTGCACTGCGTGGCATAGTATGATATGTGCTCACCTTGCCCGTTCTGCCTTCCCATTCTTCTTTTACAATGGGACCCTGCCCTTCTAGCACCTTTCTTAGCCAACAACACATCCGCAAACACTAAGATGATCCAACGTGGCCTGAACGAGGTCCGCATGGTCCGAACGCTCCCAGCCATATGCATAATGTCTCTTTCAGCAGAGGAGTACCACCAGGCCGGTATTTGCTTCGGGTGCTCGGTGCCTATCCACTAAACACGCACTTACCGACACAAAGCCTCGGTGATTGCACGCGTGCGCATTGCATGTTCGTTGCCTACGCAAATGCCTACGCAAGCTGCTTGCACGCTGCTTTTCTATCTCGAGCTTTGTAACTATGCCAAGTTGTTCATAGCCCGCTTGGGGCTTTGCAGTTTAAACTGTGATAAGCGAAGCGCACACTTTGGCAGCTCAAGCTCTGAAATCAGAACTTTTCAGTGCTTGAGGTGCAACATTTGGCAGAGGCAAACTGTGACGGGAAGCTTACCATAAGCAGCGGCAGTGGCCCGCCCGGAAAGGAACAACCAAATTCACGAAATGGGCCTCCTCAACCACTGCAAAATATGAAAGCTTCAGATCATGAGCCACTTTATATTTATGTTGTATCATCCAAGACTTGCCTACGGGGGAGGGGGCCGACACAAGACAAAAACTATATAATGTACTTGAAATGCACACGCGAGTCTACGCCCAGTTCCTTTCTGTATTCACCCTTTTGTCCCATTGCCCGGAACACAATACGGCAGTGCACTGGCGCAACAAAAACCATCCCACAGAGAGGATAACACAGTGGAACGCTCCAAACTACAACGTTGGCGGACTCATCTCTGAAGCGCACAGCACAGCACCAGTCCCCAAGGCAAGTACGCCCCTGAATGCTGCCTGGGCACATCGCATATTGCTGGTACATGGCTGGCGACGGGAAGGAAGCACCAAGATACAAAAGAATGCTACACAGACTCCTACAGAAGCTCGGGCAGGCGGCAAATATCGGCAAGTCATACCCTGGGTCTGCCTCAAAATGAGGGCAGCTCCCAACAGGGTTGGGTACCAACCAACCAAAAGGGGCTTCCAACTAAAAAGGACACACCCGCCATGTCGCAAACTTTTGGCATGTCCGCGCAACGAAGACCTACAAGCATTAAAACGACAACTTGCAAAAACAGCACTACTGCCATGACCAGTCGAAAACGAAACCAACAAGGAAACCGTCCATTTTGGGGCCGGGGGTGTTCTGCCGCAATGGGCTGTTTTCCTGTCCGCTTCTCTGCTGGTCTGTCCCCAGTCTGCGGAAAATTCTGGAGCTATCTGTTAAATCGACATGGCACCGGACAAGCTTCCAGCGCAAAGGAGGGATGTGGGTCCGCATTTCGGATTCATGTCGTGCAAGGTGTTGCAGTGATGGCCGCCCTTCAGTCAGCCGCAAGAAACCTTTGCACCTCTGTGCCTGCGCCCGTCTTTGCCCTCTCAAAATCACGGGACGACGACCTCAGCTTCGAGCGGGCCACGAGCGGAAGCAGCCAAACACGCGCCGATGCACCCTCCAGGGTCCAGGCCACCTTGAGGAGGTTGGAGTCTGGGCGGAAGAATTGAAATATGGCTGTGGGTCAAAACCCTGTACCCCTGGTGAACATCAAAACAGGTGGCAAATGGATGTGCATCCACCCCAAAATGGAGCCAGAGGTTATGCCCCATGGCCATATGACCGCAGCCCAAGAACGCCGCGACCTCAAAAAAGAACAACCCGGCCGCCTGGGTGGCTCCTTTGCACAGAAACCCACAGGGGAAGCCACTCCAGACTGCTTTTTCCCATGTTCAAAACCCAAGTGCTGTCCAACAAGCAGTCGTTGGTTGTTTGCGGGGTGCTGGCTATTCTGGAAGCCCCCGATTATAAGAAGCGGCTGCGTGCTGGCGTACAATGCAACGGGCCTGTGGATTCCTCCTTCTGGCCGTGCAGTGCGCACACATTGTCGCCAGACTCCACCATGCCGAACTCCTGCACAACGTGGCAACAAAAGGTGATGCTCAAATTACCCCAAAACGGGACATTATGCGGCTGTGTTTTTTAGTATACCACCTTCTTGGGGGTTGCTCTGAGGGGACACAAACAACACCAGCATCTTTGGGGTCCCCTATTTTGACATGTACTTATCCATGTCACATCATGTGTGCCAGGAGTTCCGAACGGGTGCCATGCATGCAAGTGCTCGATTCTCAAGTCTGGTTCTTGGAGGTCTGGATGCTTTGCCACAAATATAAGCTTCGCAAGGAGGTGCCAATTGTATGTGGTATGTAACCCAGACCCTTAGTGGTGAGGGGAAACATAGGCACTCTTTTTGTTGGCAGTGGGGCCTCCCTCCAAAAAAGCAAACGCCAGAACCTTCTTAGTGAGTAATCAGTTGACCAACCAACAGGTACGTTCAGCACTCAGATTTCAACTCAGGAAACGGCGCAATCCACCATTGGCTGGGTCCATGTGGGTGTGTCTTTGTTTAATGCCGCTTGTTTGTGGGTGAAGGAAAATCAAACAAATCCATGTTGGGACCTGGTCCCATCATTTTGAGACAAAACCTGGACCCATGTGCCAACTGATCCCTTTGCTTCCAGGTATTTCGCCACTATAGCAGGTATCACAGGGTGTCTTACAAGGTTTTACATGTCTTCCCTTGGTTACTACCAATTGACGTGGAACCTGACGTTCGGGGGCCCTGGAAGATCATTTTCCCTTAAATACAAATCTAAAGGGACCGGGTCCCTTGATCAGGCTCCAGGTGACAAAGGGTGGGAGGGTACCTTCTGTGGATGCACAGAATCCATTTCGCACCACGAAATGAAACCATGGTTGAAACCATAACGTGTGTTGGTATTTACAGGGGAATCGAATCATTTCCTACGGTAGCTGCAACAGGGATCCTTACATTGTACACCTGAACATTGCCTTGTCAATGGTGGTTTCCCTTACTTTGGTGGAAAACGCCATGTGTCAAATGGGCAAAATCTATCTTTTAAGGAGCCCTGAGCACCGGGAATCACCGCCCCAAAGGCACGGCTCCCGCCTTGGCTTTGGCCAAGGCCTTGGAGATCACCTGATCCGTGCCCTGGAAGGAGGCCGTGAGCACCGGCACCACCTAAGGAAGCCGTCTGAGCTGAGACGGAAATCCGTGCTGTGGGAAAAAATCGACGGGCCTGGGAGATGCTGCAACCAGTAGCTTTGCCAGGGAGCCAGCCAAAACCAAAAAGGACACCTATGCTTCAGAAATCCCACCCAAGTTTCAAGCATCTCATGTCAGACTTCAACTCTTACCCCTAAACCCTTTCTTCGCTCAGCCACATTTCCGGGTGTTGGACACTTTGGGATCCTTGGGAGACATGGGTGTGTTATTTTTGCGAGGGCGCTGTTTTTTGGCTTGTTCAAAGAGGCATCAAGGGAAAACATCCATTCTGGGGTGCCCCTATTTGAGACAACCCTCCTTTGTTTCTTGTCTTTTCTGGGGGTTCGCAAGTCGTCACTTGGGTTAGCCCTTTCCGGGGCGGGAGATTTGTGGGAAACGGATGGGCCTCACTTTGGGGGAGCTCCATATTTCCCATTTGAAGACAAGGGATGCAGGTAAGGGACTGCAGCGAGGCGCGAATATCCAAACTGTTGATTCTTAGCATGTTGGCGCACACTTTGAACTCGGTTGAAAACACCAGTTGCGCGAGGTTTTGATTGTGACTCATTTGCGGCTACTTTTGGGGCGTTGCGTTGAGGGAGGGCTTCCCAACAGAGACCCACCCTTTTTGGATTCCTTATTTTTTTGAGGGTACCCCTTTTTGAGGGAAACCAAAAGAAATCAACAAGAAACCCCTGTTGGGATTAGGTATATCTCTTTTTGAGGTACCCCGTTTTTGGTGGGTGGTTTTTGTTCGGGAAACCAAAACACCCTTACCATTTTTGCGGGCCCACCCCATTTTGGGACCATCCGGGGCCGGCACGCCACGTGTGGCCAGAAGCTGGCGGAGGGTCTGCTCGCTGGCCGTGATTGCCTCGGCGTCGTGCTTCTTGTCGTTGGGCGGCGTGCTCCCACTCACGTTTTAGCAGTCATCTATGGGTGGCTCGGCCTTTTATGATGGTACCCTTTTTGGGCTGGTTTTAAGGGGAAACAAAAGGAACACCACCAAATTTCAGGGTCAAATCCATTTCGCACTTGCGATTCGACCCCCCTTGCAAATACCAACGAATTAGTGGCTTCAACCATGGTTTTCAAGCGGTGCATGATTTCGCTCATCCACAGTATTAGCTACTCCCACTCACGTTTTGGCAGATATATTTACACGTGCTCGTATTTACTACCTTTCAAGGAGAGTGATATGGATCCTCGCTGCGAAAGGGTTTGAAACAGAGTTTCGGGAGAGAATAAACAGGCCCAATCCCACCAACAAGAAGAGACTGTTTAAGTCCCCCAGTCCCAAGGGCAAAGCGGTGCCCCCGGCTGGCACAAACAATGAACCAAAACAGGGTGCCTTTAACCAAAAGATGAATGAACCCAGCAAGGGCAGAGACAACCGAAAGCAAGCACAAAGCAGCAAACCAAGCAGGCAAACAATGCAGCGAAGCGAAGCGAGCAAGCAAAGCAAACCACTCCAACCAAACACCCGACCCACCTCCGGAGACACGACCGCCACCCCGGCAGCGACGGCTGCGACACAGCGCAGCCGGCGCGTAGAGCGACGCGATCGTTTTCCGACGAAATGGCGAGAATCAGTCGACGAGTGTAAAAGCTTGAGCCAAACGGCGCATTGGCCGTGGCATGGAAACATGCTATGATAAAACTACATGCCCCCAAAAACACCCCCCTCGACTGTACAAAGAGATGGAGTGAATTTGGAAAGGCGCATTGGCCATGTTGAAGTTGAAATGCAATAAACATGAACAACAAAGCCGATTAGGCTACCAGGGTTCGCGACCCCATACCCGGGCACTCATTGGTGCCCGGATCCCGCCACCACCCCGAATTACGGGTATGGGGCGGATTCGCGCCGGTAGCCAAATCAAACAAGAGAAAGCAAAAAGAAACAGAAACAAAGATTCAACTCCAGAATGGCAGGCATGAAATAAAATTACATTTGCAATGCAACCACAACGAACCGCAAGGTTCAAGTGGATTTAGTTCCTGAATTCATGATTTAGGCGCATTGGCCTACTGGTTGAAACATGGTGCTTTGACCACAAGACCTTGGTCTTTAAAGTAGCACCGTCTAGGCGCGCGATCACACAAAGACCTTCAGTAGGAACACCACCAGCTGCAATCAGCGGTTCAGGTCCGAGTAGGACTTCACCGGCAGCGGTGCAGCGCATCCGTGATCCTCACCGCAGCACCTTGATGAGTTCCATCTCCAGCAGCAGCAGCGGTGCTGGACGATGCTGACAACCAGCGGCCGTAGACACCGGCGAGGGTAACTGCCTTGCTGCGGCGACGCACACCTGACAGGTAATCGCCGCCAGCGCGAATAGCGCACAGCTGCGCATGCAGTTGAATTCTGGAATGGCGAATAGCCCAAACATAGAAATACTACAGGGAGCATTGTCCATTATGTGAATTCCGGAATGAAAGCACGCGCGCGTTGGCGCCGCTACGCAAAAGATGCAGACGGACACCAGGTATTACCGATGTCGTCCGCCGCCGTGCCGTCCCCTCCCCTTGTTGACGTTCCAGTCCCCAGGAGGAGGAGGCACGGTCTCGGCCAACTCATCATCCGCACCCCAGGTAGGGGTATGCGGCGAGTTCGGATTCTCGAACTCGCGTGGATCACCCTGCATGTGCGGCTGCCAACCCTGCTGCATTGTGCCAGGCCACATTTGCGGCATCATGCCAGCCATTGGCTGTTGCATGTACCCTCCCATTGGGAAAGCGGGGTACATCGGACTTGGGAACGGGAAAGGGGCTGCCTGAGCACCCTTGTATCCCGACCCGCGAGCATCAGGCTGATACCCGCCAGTGGGAGTTCTCGATCTGGCGGATCCGCCACGACCGAACTGCCCTTGTTGGTAGCCGTATTGGCCACCCTTGCCTTTGTACTGATCACCTTTGTGACCCTTTCCTGGGAACTGGTCACCCTTGTGACCTCCGCCCTTGGGCCAGGATTGTGCGGTCTCCCCTAGGAGTGGCTGCCCGCCTGTGGTGTTTCCCAACCGGCGGGTCAGCAAAGACAATGGCGCATTGGCCGTCGCGCCGCGACGCGGGGACCATGTCAACCTTATTGTCTTCGACATAAATGTATGCCTCAGCATACTCAATTGGGGCCGTGATGGATCCACCACTGGCCCGCAAAGAGTCGATATTCCAATCAAGAACAGTGGAAGCGTCGAAACTCGGATCTTCAGTATTGAAGTCCGTGAGGCGTCGCTCAGCCTGTACCAACGACATTATGATGTCCGCGCGTGAGGCGCCTAGGCCATACAGCGGAACCAAATACCCGTCCTCAATCCCGATGCGGTAGGCATCAAAGATATGCACAGAGAGGTAAAGGGCAAATGCTGAATTTAGACTGCCCTTTCTCGTCATATGACGACCCCATTGCGCCGCCTGTTGCGGGTGCTCGATTAAATATGCCATGACAGACATATTGTCGGGAATCGAGACGCCAGTGTTGCTCTCCTCGATGAGCAGCTGCTTCGCTACCCACCGCTCGAGAGCCTCATCACTCGCCCGCACACAAGCGTGAGTGTCCTTTGAGGTGACCTTTGCAACCTCCTGAAACGCAACTTGCACAATATCCGCATTGGGAATGTGCACAAGATGCGGCGCGCAGCGCAAACCGGTGATCATGCAGCTGACCACCTCGCGAATCGGGTTTACCGATGCCATGAGAGGGGCCCACGCGTCGGTCTCCCCTTCATGCCAGCTGCTGGGGCGGACTGCTTTGAGTTCGCTCAGCCAGATTGGCTGTCCATGCTTAACCAGAGCGCGGACGGTGCCTGGCACCCATTCACGATAGAAAATCGGCAGATGGCAACCATTGCATAGAATGGTGCCATACATGTTCAAATGCGCGCACCGAGGGCACCAGTAGTCATGCATGGGAGCATTGTCCCATGAAAAAGACACCCCTCTCCGCGGTCCCTGAACATTCAACTCACGGACCGCCCAGGGGCGGATGTATATTACATCCCCTTCCTGATGCAGATAGCATGCGCGCCAGAATGGCGCATGTATCTCTTCCCGCACGGCGATCAAACCGCGTCGGGTTTTGTAGATGCCGGCGGCTTCCTCGATGGCCATCCACTTTAGGTCAACGGCCACAACGACATGGCGCTTGTCCATGTACTTGACGCGGTCGTCAACATAAAATTCGCCCTCATTATTGGGGCTGGGCAACTTGAGGAAAGGCACCTTTGCGCCCTCCATCCCAATCATGATCTCCCCCCTGCAGACCTGCTCAGGTCGCATGGGGAAAACTGTGATGGCGAATTTGCCAGGCCTCCGGATGCACCTCGTTTTGAGGGCGGACCGATACTCGGCCATCGTCAGCAGCACGTATCCCGTATAAGGGACTTCTGCTGCTCCCATCGGCCTAAGCAAAGGCCCCATAGGCGTTCGGTCACGCAGTGCCCAACGCTTGAAAACTTTGAACGGCACGTCCCTCCCGATTAGGGTGGACCGCGCAAAAAGCACCTCATTCGGGCGCACACTCGTGCCATCTGTCCTCCAGACTGTCCGTATTAGGAGCTCGACTGGAGGGTACGATGGGCTTTCCTTTGCGAGAGCACCCGCCCAGGTCGCTACCTCGACACTCGTGCACTTGTGGATCCCGTATAGGGCCTCAAGTAGCGTTGAGATCAGAGTCATTGACATCCAACCTCCCAGAATGTCTGGAACCGTCCCAAACAAGAAGGGAGGCTGCTCACCGGGCTTCACGTTTAACCGCGTAGGGTCAGTGTTGCCCGACAAAACTTCTAGCAGCATTTGCGATTCCCTGGAGCTTCGTCCAACAAACGCCGACACATCCCTAATTTCGGGGAAAAAATGGAAGATGTCATTTCCGGCAGGACAGGCGATTCTGCCTGCTATCCCGCCCTGTGCATCAATCACAACCTCTTCACCCTCGTATGTGAGGTTGTAGGTGCTCGTAATCGGGCACACACCGGGCTTAGCCATCAGTGCCTCTTCCAACGACGCACCTGTCGGGAGGACGCCCTGTACATGCGACTTGGTACCTATGGGACCAGTACTCGCAGACATAAGCCGATAATTTTCGGCACGAAAGAATGGAAAAAGGTTCTTCATCCTTTCAATTTCTTCTTCAGTGGTGCGCCACGCCTTTGCCTCATAGTAAGGCGGCTCCTGCTTTGAGGGCACTAGGTCGCGGTCACCCATTGATGAGAATTTGTCCACATATGGGCCCATTCCATCATCGTCTACATAACTCTCGTGATCTTCATCCGAGACGTACTCCTTGGGCGGCTCGCCCAGAGCGTCCAGATCGACCTTACCAAGGTCGACCAACGCCGGAGAATCCAGGACTCTCTGGATCCTCATGAGCTCGTTCCTAAACTGCTCAAAGCCTCCGGCCTTGTCAATCACGGAGGTCGGCATTACGCCCTCCCATGATTCCGGAAACATGCACACGTTCGTAGGGGAAAACTCATCATCGGAAATATCCCGATCACGCTCCCGTACGTCGCTGATTAGCGTCACGTCCAACGAGCCGCCTAGGGCCTCGGGACGCGACGCCTTCGCCGGATGCGGCTTTGCGCTCTTTGACGCTACAGCAGCCTCATTGGCCGCTTTGTCCTTCTTCTCGTCACCCTTACTCCCCTCCTTGTCCACATCCATTTCGGATGGCTGTGCGCTCCCCCCTGCTCCGCCCATTGGCGGTTCAGAGGGTTGAACAGGGGATTCCTTGGTACGGGCTTTGCCGTAATAATGCCCTGGGATCTGCACGCTCCCAGTGGAGCCACCGCCAGCCTCTCTTGGACGCTTGGCGGTGTGTGTCGACCCAGTATGTGCAGCAGGAGCCGATCGCCTAGGAAGGCCCTTACTGGC